GATATATAAATGAAGTAAAATTAATGTAAGGAGGATCATTAGAGTAATTCTTAGCCTACTTTTCTTCTGTATGAGATAATACGAGTATATAGACGTTTGAGGTATTATACTGTCTGTACATATCTCCCCCTCCATTTAAGCCTTTGAACCATTAGAACAATTTTGGTGAAATTCTCTATGAACATTATACTATTGGAGGCAATAATAACACCATGCTTCTTAATTTCCAAGGATACTCACATTTTGTACCAGTCACTTTGTAGTCCTGAAATATTGTGTATGGTAACAGAAACCAAAATAACATCCAGCTCTTAGTGAGGCAATTCTTTCGTATACTGTAAAATGACAATGTGGTGGCTGAGGAGAAATATCCTTCAACTCTTGGTTTGATGGCAATAATATATAAAGCACGGTGATGTGAAAGATTGAGGTTACATCTGTCAAATTTAGCAAGTTTTTCACAAAGATAAATAATGATAATCTGACTGAAAATCTATGCAACAAGAAGGTAGGGTTTATGAGTTTACTCCAAACTCATTGTTTTAGAACGCTGCCATTAGTTAAGGCTTAGTCTGAGCAAATTATGTTTCTGACACTAGCTGGAAAAGTGGATTAGGCACACTATATTCTTAGAAATGAATAGAACACATGGAAAGAAATACTACTTTAACACAAATTCTGAATATACACATACACTGTTATAACAATGAATAAACTGAAAGATTTGAATATAAAAATAAAAGATTTGGATACTATTTCACTTTTCGCTTCAGTTTTATGCCTACTACTGTTTCAAGTTATAAACTCCCACATGCTCCTTCAATTTTTCAGGGAATGTGATTATAGCATTAGTTTTTTTTTGTGGGTTAATTAATGATGCTTTTTCAGTATAAAAGCTGTATAGCATCAGATGGTAGGGAGATAGATGACTGATGAATTGGAAAGTATTTGGAAGCAAGTAATTATAGCCTAACTAAAGCATTATCCTGGAGGAATTCAGAAATACCATGAAAAATCTGTCAGGATGGCTGAAGTTGCAGGTGAAATTCACACCAAGCACTTCCTGAATACAACTGTAGAGCATTACCTCCCGATTAGCCTGTTTTGTTGGGGGTCAGTTATTAATAAAGTTAGAATATTTATGTCTAAAATATTAAGAAATGAATACAATTATTGGGAAGCTCAAGAAATGTCACTTTATTGCATTTATTACATAAAAAATGACTAGTATCAAATAATGTCTTATCTTACTAACCAAGGTAAGTGCTGTGTATACTCAAATAATAGCTCTGTAACTACTAGCTGTAAGGTAAAAAAATATCAACAAAATACTAATCATTCTGGTTCAGAATCCATATTTTATAACATTAAACAGCATTTCATGAATATGGTCCACTTGGTTAAGTATTTCATTTTATCAGCACATTAAACAGCATTTTATGAACATGTCCATCTGGCCGAGTATTTAATTTTCTCAACATTAATACAGTCACTGAGGGTTAAAATGTGGCTGCCACTCCAGAATTATTCTGGGAGGAATTTGAAACATAGGTTAACATATTCACTACCAGTTCCATAACTTTATGGTTTGAAGTTTGCTGTATACCAGTGCAAATCCCATCGAGTGACAGACTGTTGCCACTGTCCACATAAATTTAATATTCTCCTACAAATGTCACTCAAATATTGAGACACTGTAAGTGTAGCTTGTTGAAGCTTGAGAGAAGTTAATAAAAAATCAAAATAAAATCATCATACTGGCTTATAGATTTCATCAGATTCTTAAAATAAACAATTATCTTCCACAACAATATTAACAGACAGGTGTAAACTGTTTTCTCAGCAGTAACAAAATACTGTTTAGAAAACAATTGTCTTCAAAGTGATAACAGATAAAAATTCAGTTTTAAGCTTTTCTCTCAAAATACATTACACTCTTAGTTATCCATTCTAATGAAGGGATAAAATGCATGAATAATAGATAAACTGGATAATCCAACATACTTCATGCAAATTCAGAAATGTGTGCATAGCATCTAATTCTTTTAATTAACTAGAAAACTGTAAGAGTGCTAGAAAAAGTGTCCTGAAAAAAATATGCTTCATTTTTGTCTGCAACTTTCATTCAAAAACATTTTAGTGATTCTAAACTCAAGGTATGCACAGAAACATGTGTTAAGTCGTCAGGTGAAGTGGCCATAGAAATTGTTCTAGCTAAATAAAAATTACATGGATTGATAATTTTCTCATAAAATTGCCCAAGAGTAGATTTCATGAAAATCCAACCAGCTCTTCTTCAATTTTGTGAATTAGACAGATGAAGTGAACTTAATAGGTGCTCTGCAGGGTTTCAAATGTGCAGATAAGTTGCAAACCAGATACAATACACACAACCAAGACTGTACTACAAACATTCCAAAAATCATATTTTATGAGAATAAATTCTGTCAGCATGAACAGTAGTAGTAGATCAGCTTTATGTGTTTATAACAGCCAGAGTATGGAACTTTAAAAGCACGGAATTGGAAACTGTATGCCCCACTGACTTAACTTTCTTTCCATTCAACACTGTGCTACTTCGACTACATAATACTCCATTTTCAAACTTCAATAATAATAATAATAATAATAATAATAATAATAATAATAATAATAATAATAATACACGACTCAAACTGACTTGTCTATTTCACTGCCATAACAATAAGGACAATAAACATGGGGCAGTCTATACTGACATGTAATGAACTAGATATATTTCATCATGTACAAACAATAAATAGAAATGTGTGAAACAGTGATTCCTTCCGCTGTACTATACACAATTTATGTTGTTTATTTTTGTCATTACATATGGCTTGAAAGAAATCAGTTGATGATAGAATGCTGCTGATAAAAAGTCACGTTTTCAGTTGATACCTTTCCAATCATTAAAATGACTTTGCCTGATTTAAATTTGAATTACACGTATAACACTTCATTAGAATTTTGTGTAAGACGTAAGGCAAAAATAAAAAAGCTTATGCAACTGTGAACTGAATGCACATTCAAAAGAATAAAGAGAGGTTCAGTCCTTTACTTATAGCATTATTTGAGTGTGTTCACAGTGTGAGATGTCAGCTGGTGTTCAGTTTCTCCCTGAGAAGAAAATTAACTGTTACAGCATGATTTAAATAGGGGTTCCATCCATGGTCCCCCCCTCCCCAAAAAAATATTGGTATGACTTCACATACCTCATACAATGGCTGTTAAAAGTGGTGTCCTCCAACATCAATTCACATTTCACACCACCATAAATTCTGACACATTATGAAGTTCACCTGTGATTTCTACAGTATTCTGGAATTCAAACTATATGGCCTTCCAAAATGATGGGTTATTTCTGCAAGCTTTGTTTCAAATTTCCCCACAAACAGAAGTCACACAAGATGGTGCACCACAAATATCTTCTATTTTAACATCTTTAGGACTATTGTGGCACAGAGAACAGAAGCTTTGGAGACACTGTATTCTTGGTAAATTGACAAAGGAACTTTCCTGGACCCAATTTGAATCTTCTTTGGATGTCAGCACACACTTTAATTTATGTTGCTTCCTATCAGCAACTGACCCAGTGTCATGCTACTTTTTGTACAATTCTGACACATATGGTTTGTTGGGTAAAGCTGATTCTGGACTCTACTCATAAAATTCATGAACAAATCTGTCATAAGATTTCTTCTATCTAATGTGATTTTCAACAACAAATATGCATTGTTCAAAACTGTGCAGTGAACCCTATTTATGTCAATGCATGGATCACTGCATGCTGACCACCAACTAGCCAAATAACTGTTCGAATAAAATGCCATAACTACTGGACGAACCCCTTTGTATACATGCATGTATAAAGTTAAATAAATTATACACAAATACTATCATCATCCACAATAAAATATGTAGATGTCTGTCATACACACATAGACATTATTAAGCTAGTACAAAAATTAAAAATGACAGGCAAATTGAAGAAAGACTACCTGGATAAATGTATGTAATGAACCTCTCAGAAACAAAATGATTGTGCGCGCGTGCGCACGTGCTTGTGTGCGTGCGTGTGCGTGTGTGTGTGAGACATATGGATGCACTGTCGGAAAATTTCCAGTGTGAGTTACCACAAGTTGGCACCAAGTGGAAGAATACTGATTGAGACATCAGAAAGAAGGCAAGAGCTGAATTTGGTTTAAGTGAAAGACAGTGAACAAAGAAGTTAATGAACCAAGGAGAGGAATCTATTTTCTTTAAATTCTGCATCCTGTTGTATTTTAAGGGCTATAATACTAGTAAAACTAAATTTTACTTTGAAGGACCATTGAATTTCAACATAATTCTAGTAGAACCAGGGGTTTATAAAATTCTACATAAGGATCCCACACAGAAACTTCTTACCAAACACAAAACTGTCCTTCTCGCTGACTTGAAATATAAACTGATTCCTTACCACAGCATCCACCCCACTCCTATGGATTTCCAAAGATATACAAACCTGACACTCCTCTTAGACCAATAGTTATCTCTATTGACTCTCCCTGTTATGCCCTAGAAGATTTTCTCCACAAGGTCCTGAGCCCTCTAGACTTCTTCAGGAATAGCTTAGAACAATTCATAAAATTTATACAAGATATCAACCTTCAAAACAAAGACTACCTTGTAAGTTTTGACTCTGTCAGTCTATTCACAAACATACCAATGGAAGAAGACTTATAGCTTATAAGAAATATGACTAAATACAGATTGTTCTTTCCCCAGAACACTCACCTTTAGAAGCTGAAGACATAATGGGATTGCTGGACATCTGTTTAACAACTATGTAGTTCCAGTTGGATGATAAATTTTATCAGCAAAAAAATGGTACAGCAATGGGAAAATCACCATCTCTGGTGGCCAGTAATATATTTATGGAACAGTTTGAGGAAATGGCATTTGATGCAGCAGACTACAAACCCGCTAAATGGCCCAGAGTACTCGCTTCAGTGATACATATACTAAAATTGGAATGATACAGAGAAGATTAGCATAGCCCCTGTGCAAGGATGACATGCAACATCGTGAAGTGTTCCATATTTTTATGGGCCGTCCCATAGTTCAAGTGGTTAGTCGCTGGCTTCCCACTGCGGCGGCCCGGGTTTGATCCCGGGTCTCATCATGTGGGATTTGTGGTGGACAAAGTGGCACTGGGGAAGGTTTCTTCCAAGTACAGTTTCCCCTGCCACTCTTCATTCCACCAATTGCTCCACAATCACCCTCACCTATCATCTGGGGCTAGTACAATAGGCCAGAAGTGGCCGCAGTACAAGGGACTTAGTCCCACCCCACTAGCAATAAAAAAAATGGTTCAGATGTCAGTGACACTTTCATGGTTTTGGTCACATGAAGCAGCAAGATTACAGTAATTTTTTCACCATCTCAACAGCGTTCAACCTACTGTCAAATTCATAATGGAAGCTGAAGCTGATGATACCCCTACATTCTTGGACATTTTGGTCATGAGGACGGGTCAAAAACTGGCCCTGAAAGTGTACCGGAAACATACTCATACAAGTCATTATGTGCACTTCAAATCCGACAACCTACATCGCATAGAACAGGGAGTCATTCATAGTTTGCAGTTGAGCGAAGATCAGGTGTTAGGGCCAGAAGGCCTTCAACAATGAAATTAAGAAAGCAAGACATGATCTGATACTTAATGAATACACACAAGAATTTCGTGACTCTATAATGAAACTATCGAGAAGCAACCATCCTTCTTCATATAAAACATACTAGGGCATTGTCATCCCATATGTTAAGGGTATCTCTGAGAAATTTGGATGCACTGGAAACAGTTTCAATATCAGGACCATTTTAAAAACTAAACATACACTCTGTAGGACATTGACGAAAACTTGACCAGTTACAGATGCCAGCAGATGAAGCAGTGTGTACAATATCACATGTGATTGTGGCAGATGTTAAATTGGTGAAACAAGCAGACCTTTAGAAGTATACATCAAGGAGCACAAATATAACCTGACACAAGGTCTGCTTAAAATATCAAAATTAGCCCAACATGAGTACAAAGCCCACAGGATATATTAGAAAGGAGCAAAGTTCTTGCAGATGGAACCAAACGTCACATACAGACAATACAAGGAATCCGCCCACATCTCTGACAAACCATCTGACCAGTCAACCCACCTTGGACATCTCTCCCATTTGGATTCCCATTATCACAGCAGAAGTAAAAAAACTACAACTCCATCGAGTGTAGATTAAGAAGCAAAATGTTGTGTTTTTTATGTTGGTACCATACAGAGAATTTATCTCTACAGTGATGACTTCTCTTCTGATAGTACTTCAGTTCTAGGCCTCATACTTGTGGAATTTCTTAATGTTTTGTCTTAACTCTTTCAGATGGTTTGTCCCGTGCTTGGTTTGTATACCCTATCTTATATTGGTGCAGGTGTCCAGAGATAGGGACTAGCTCTGTTGATTTGGCCCAACTGAGTAGATTTTACCTGAAGATGGAGACACAATCCAGTCTCCGAAATACTGTGTTTTAAATAAAAACAGGATGATGGATAATGTCCAGAAACATAACATTTATATAAGTATGGTTAATTCTGAGTAAAACATACTTGCATCCTTTATGAAATGTAATCACAAGCATGTTTGAGGTCGATATGCAACTACTGAAAGCTCTTTACAACATTGTTTCTGGTAACCTTTCATACATACCTCTATCAGTAAAAATGGTATACTTATAAAAATACTATTCACAAACATATCATGACGATGATGATTTAAACATGTTTTTACATCACAGATTCTGCCAATTCAAATTGAGGCTTAGTACAAATTAAAACATGGATAACTGCTCAGTATCTGGTTCCTTCCACCACAACCTTCTCTCCCTAACATACTGAAAGACCAAAAAAATATTTTCTTAGAAAATGTACTTAATGGAATTACTATAATAATAGCATACTCAAATTCACTCCATATCCAACTCACAATGGAGAGTCCTAAACATGTCTTCAATAAATTCTGTGAGGCATCGAATGGCTTGGAAGAAAGCTGCTACCAGCAGTGACAAAGAAAGCGATAAGAGTTTACTAGGAACTAGTTCACTGGTCTGTTGACCAGCAGAGGCATTAGATGGTGTAATACTATGCAAATCATTTCTTACATTGCTTGGTGATGATGGTGTTGAGGCAATTATCACAACTGAATGTGGCAACTGGTCACTGCCTCTGTTCATTTCATCTTGATGATTAAAACAGGTATGAGACTCATATTCAGATCCTAATAATACATCCTCTTCACTTACAGATATTTCTGAAAGAGAACCACGGCCACAACGTGTCCGTCTTGAAGCAATGATCACGACAGAATGCTGGTTTGCTGAATCTTGATTCCAGTTGTGAGAAGTTATTGCATTGTGATTGGCTGTGATCTTCAGTCAGGTAATAATACCACCACCCTCTTGACTAACAATAACATTAACTTCATCTGCAGTAGAAGACTGGTCTATAATGGGAGAAGCTTCACTGTTGTCACTGGATGTTCTGTTTCTTTCAAGGGTTAGAAATATCTGCAAAGAACATGTATAGGATTAGAATATGATGTACTTTGACATCTGATAAATATACTTTTTGTATCTATGGAAGGATGTCTGAAAGCCTGTGAATGTAGCAGTTCACAGTAATATGTGGTGTTACGTAGGCTACAGACCCCTTTCACATAATCAAATCATTATTTCCCAGGAGAAATAATAAATTCACATTATTGCATCTTTGACAAATATCTTATTATTTTCAATTTCCAAATTTTTCTTTCTAAGAATCACAAGAAGGACATCAATAGTTTTCAATTACTAATTGCAATATGCATCACAATAGGTACGATTAACTAATAATATTCCAAACCTGAGGTTCTTCAAGGTTAATTGTTCGAAACTCTTGAACAAAAGACAAAATAAATACACAAAATGATGTGGCAACAATCCATTCTGAAACAGTGCTAGCTACATGCATCTCCCATCCACCATCTTCAGGATACCATTTCCGTGGGTCTTTCCCTGTCAAAGAATACAATGACCATCATTTTCCACACTGATAAATGACATTAAAAAAAGGTACAGAATGTAGAAATAACAAACAGAAAGAAGCCTGACTCTGTGCCTCAGTTTTGAAGGGTAAATTTGACAGAACCTTCAATTGAGTGTGCTGTTGTTCTAAACAGGATTTTGCAATCAGTTTTTAAAAGACTGTAACAATTACATACTACACAGTTTCTCTTGAAAAAAGTTGATATGTGCTCAGTTGGTCAATAACTTCTCAATATTCACTGAGAGTTCACTGCCACATTCTCAAGAGCCCATCAGTGGTATTTTGGGCCAACCAATCTAGTCCACACATTAATTTCTTGAAGATTCACTTTAAAATTATCCTCCCATCCACACCCAGATATCCCAGAAGGTCTTTCCATGAGGTTTTCTGATCAAAACTTTGTATGCGGTTCTCATTTCACCCTGCATGCTACATCTTCCTCCATTTAGTCACTAAGCATAAAAAGATGAAGATAAAAAATTAAGAAGCTCTTTAATATGTCATTTTTTTTTCCAACTCTGTCGGTTCTTCTTCCTTAAGAAAACCTATAAACATATTTATTATAATAATTTAACTGAATTCTTTATTTTTAACACCCTCAGCAGCTACAAGAGTCAATTATAGGGTCAGCACAAATAGTAAAAACAAGATAGTACACGTATGAAAGACAAAACAATACATGGTACATAAAAGACATTCTAGTGCACAGTACACATGGAACAATTCTAGTATTTGCACAACGCCCTAATCATATAATAAAACTGAATGTAGTACAGTAACTACTGATCAACCAAACTAAACAGAAGACTAACGTTAAAAAACTGTTGCTACTGCTGCTGGCAGTCAGAACGCCAAGCCAATTGCTGACCCACTTTGGCCTCGCTGATCCAGCATTTCAAAAGTCTCATTTGGATCCTTGTTCCATGTGGTTTTACAATGTCTAATAGTTACAGAAGTCTGTTTCTTTGAATTCTGTCAAAATCATCCATCCAAATGACTGAAATATTTTGCAACTTTATCCAATACTGATTCTCTTTGTACTTCTTTTAAAATTAATTTCTTTTAGGTCAATTAAAGTGTATTTTGACATTAATTTCACAAATTTCACTTCAATATCTCTACTTCGTCCCCCAAGTCAAAACATTGAGTGGAGTCAGCATACACAGTAATCTTGAAATGCTTCCCCCAGCATACTTATCAGTGGGCTCCATTCTGCTGCTCATTTATTTCCAGCACATTTGACATTCTTCCATGAAAAATGTAAATTATTTCTTATGAAAAGAAATTCTTCTGCCATTTGTTTGTACAGATGTTCGGAAGTCAAAGACCAAGTGCACAATTAAGTGCTCAAATGAACCTAAGATGAATGACAATTTTGAGGTTATAAACAAATTTTCATTCCCCATCTAGTACTCTGTGCAAATATGCAATAATTAATTTATTACAGATTTCAAATTAACAGACAAAATATTCCTCTTGGTGCACATTTGTGATCAAATTAACAAAAGCAAAGCTGTAAAGGACTATAAATACAGCTGGAAATAGATAAGTTTCCCTGGTGATTCAGCAGACATAAATTAGAAGAAATGTTTCAGTAACTATTCTATTAACATACCATGAAATTCAAGATGTGAAATAACTCCTGTTATGCTGAGAAGAATAAAGAAAATAGTGCAAACCATAGCCAATACAACTCGCATATGAGCCATAATTATGCCATTTGCTAATGGATGTAAGTAATACGAACATATTGCCTAAAAAAGAGAGAAGTACTTGTGAAAACCACATGTGAATGTAAAGATGCATTCAAATTATTTATGGCCACAGTGAAGACAATTTCATACATACAGTTCTTCTGCCTGTATTATCATTATATCTGAACCAAACTGAAGGCTCTGAACTAAACGACACATAGTGCATAACCAAAATACAAAGTATTCCTCTGTCTATACAGACAGGCTACTGCAGACACAATGTAAAGTTAACTGCAAAGGAAAACTAAAGGTGAGTCACAGTGAAAATATGTGAACACTTTTTTGTTTGTGCAATTTATAAACCCCTTAAAAACACCGATTACTACATGTACCAGCTGCTTTAGCATTACACAGCTCTTGATTTTGCACACAGAATATACTTATGGACTTGTTATAATTCTTGGAATAAACATGACAATTTTCACAAACAGCATTAAATGATTGGTCTCTGTGAAGGAGATGCCATGTGTTGTCTGTAGGGTAGGAAGTGAATTTTTAAATATTATTCAGATAACTTTAAGGTTTCAAATGGTTAAAATATACAGTATACACCTGATTATCCATGTGCAGATTATCTTGTTTGTGGCTTATCCACATGCTTTTTAGGAATATTTGCAACCTTGTAAAGCGCCTGTTACAGTCACTCTGTGCTGTAAACCATATTTCTGTGTGCATGAAACAACTCAAGCACCCCTGGACAGTTCTTTTAAGAAATCTGATATTGGAGAATGTTAAAAAAAACTGCTGAAACATTTCAGTTTTAATTCTGATTGGACAATTTTAACTACTTTACATTTAGCTCAATCAGTACATGGTTGGCCAAGAGCTAGATGATCCAGATTCAATTATCAGCAGGAGCACATAGTCTTTCCTTTGTTATCATGTTCAGATTGGTTCTGAGGATCACCAAGCCTCCTTACAAATGCTTCTTTCTTTTCTTTCTTTCCTTCTTTCTTTCCGTGCATGAGTGTGTGCATGAGCCAGTCTGTGTGTGTGGAGGGGGGTTGCCATCAATGTCCCAATAAAACATACTTTGGGCTGCATAAATTGTGCATGTGCGTATATACATGAGTGCACTGAATTACACTAACTTCCATTATTATCGCAGCAAAACTTATTCAGGATTGACTAAATTATCAAAACTGACCAATTTTTAAATATGTAACTATTTTATTTACTTTCCTCAACACCAGAGGGAAAAATTAATTAATGTGAAGTCAGCTCCATTGCATATACATTTATGTTTTGTTCAATATTCACCATACTGAAAAATATTTCACATTAAAGTTGTATACCTTGATAAGCTCTGTACTTAATGTTGTACAAATCTTTTGTTGTAACCTGTTTCTGAGAAAAATGAATAAATTAGATCTGAGCTTTATGTAAAGTAGGGCTTTACATTTGACAGTTACAAACCAAACCTGAATTTGAAGAAAGTCGTCTTCTGGGTTTAGGCGCCGTGTATTCTTCGTTTTGGCCATTCACCTGCTCTGAAGATGGAGGCGATATGTTCCTCCGAAACGTCGGCCAAAACGAAGAATACACGGTGCCTAAACCCAGAAGACGGCTTTCTTCATAGTCATCACCATGAAAACCTCAAAACTTACAAACCTGAATTTGTTTGGCAGCTGCTAGTGCATTCACTATATATAAACAACACAAAGAATTGACATAATACACATACACGTACTTACTTGGAGCCAGATATATACAGTCCCAAGCCCAAAACAAAGAAAGGCACCAGTAAGGTGAACAATAATCACGTTTGTTTCTTGGAAGTTTGCAACAAGACTGAGTCCAAAACAGGACAGAAATCCTGTCCACAATGCAATTTTGTTATGTTTAATAACAGCCGATGTCAGTGCATAGCTCCGATAATATTCATCTATTTGCCTGTAACGTATGTAGATCACCATAACCACTGGAAAAACAATTCAAAGCATAACGTTAAAGAGACATAAATTACTTATATCAAAAGAACACAAGAATAATGAAATACCAAGAGTATGATCTCCTAGAATGTGACACTGTGTAGTCTGGTAGAAGTTCACTATGTTACAGAGAACTCTACTGATTCCATCTTCAGGATAAAAGAGTAAGTCGAGCTAGCAACAAGCTAATAGCAAGTAAGCCTCTGCTTCCTGCTATGCTTGGCTTATTACTCTTTTATCCTGATGATGAAGCTAGTACATTTCTCCAAAACATTAGCAGACTTCTACAGAACTACACAATGTCACATCCCAGAAGACAGTAATTTCAAAATCACCATCATGAGAACCTCAAATCTAACAAAAATATCATTTACGAATACAGGTGGACTTCTAAAACCTACAGATTGGATCTGGTCCTCAAGTTTAACTGGTACCAGCCTGGTGAGAAATTTTATTTCAACAATCACAATAGAGAAATTGCACAGACATTAATTGGTTCAGGTATAACAAAATCTCAGCTCCAACTTGTGTCCAAAATATTTGCTCACCCATGTTCTAGGTAAGTCAAATATATGATTTTGTTTTCTGGTAAAATTCTAAAATACAATACATTACTCTGGCACATTCAAACTTTAAACAATTTGCTTCAAACCTGGTACATAGTTTACCTATGTTTATCCCACGCTGCCACTTCTAACATGTGGTGAGCTCTCTACATTAAATTTCATTACATTAATGTGACTTGAAAATAAAGCAGTTGAACAAACAGCAGAACAAAAGAAATGGTCAAGGGTTCAGTACCAATGAAAACATTTTTTCTGTTTATTAGCATACAGGAAAGCTGAACAGTTTAGTCTACTGCATTTTCAGTATATAGATTTATTAACATGAACTCACGTAAAACTGTCCCACCATTCATTAGTTGACCAAAGACACAACTCTCTGGTGAATAAGTAGCTGCATCACTAATATACGGAAAATCAGGTTCAACATGACCTAGCAACACTGCAGCTATGTATCTGGAAATATTATAACATAAACACCATTACTATGAAAACATTTTGTACAGGAAATAATGAGCAACTTAAATCACAAAAATCAACAACATATACATACTTAGGTTCTATTTCTTTCACAAATTCGGTAAAATGGTGTAGAATAAAAGTAACTAAATAAGCTGTGTGAAATGTTCCATAATATATGTTATAGTATCAAATGACACTTAAAATCTTTGTCCCTCCAAGGAAGCACTTTCAAAGGGATCTTTTGATAGGGAAAACTGCAGGGAGTGTCTGCCTTATGCTCTAATTTTTGGGCTTAAGGCAGATAAATGCAGTTCAAATAGTAATTTTTTACACAATATCATGGAAATAAAATTAATTTGTTCCACCATAATCCATTTTCAATGCTTTAGTGAAAAACACAAAAAATAAGATAAAAAAAGAAAGGTCACACAGAACAAGTAGATTCTAAAGGGTTCTGACCATGATTCCTCTTTCTAACAGACCCAACAGAGTAGGTGTCTCCTATCCCCTCATCTAAGTATGGAAACAGATCCGGTTTCTGAAACGCTGTGCTCTTCAGTGTTCTTTAGAACACTGGAAGAGGGACAAGTCCAGAAACCCTGTAACCTCGAGTGTCATAGAAACATTTTAATGAATTTAAACAAGATACAATATGAAAATTAACAAAATTAGGTATTTAAATTTTAGAACAAATTCTGGAAGTACTTAAACTACAGATCTGTATCTATAATGTTAATATGAACCTGAAGAGGGAGTCATGGATCCTCCACCAAATCTTATGAAACAGGTGTTTTTAAACTTTCCTTTGAAATTTTAAAGTACTACTGCAAAATGGTCTACAGTGCCAGTGCAGATGGTGGAATATTTATTGAAATCATTGCCGCAGACAAGCATAACTCAGCGTTAATGCGGAAGGCACCTATAAAGTCTGTAACTGAGCTTCAAAAGTTTGCATGCTCTAAGTATGTACACATATTGTGTCATGTCAGTATTTGAATTCCTACTTACAATAAGGGGTCACATGAAACTAAGACAGGATACTTTTGGCAATTTTTACACTGTAACATTTTATATAATCATACTCACGTTCCTAAAAATGTGCATGGGAAAATAACAAATATGGCCAGAGGTAACAGATAAACTCTTTCATAAGCCATGATGCTTTCTGAAAACAGAAAGAGGTATCAGAAATTTCTATAATACAAGCAGATTCAATGCCTTGTCTATAACATACACATTACATTTAATTACAAATGAAGAAAAATTGTACAAGCCTGAATCAGATAAATTTATAATTGGACTGACACATCACAGTACATCCAGTTGGCTGAACTATGAATAGTATTTCCAGATCTGAGCATGCTCACTAGTCTGCATTTTCATATTGCCATGTTAGTGGAAAGAGAGAGGACTGGGTAAAGCGATAAGAAGAATGTTAGCTTATATAAATAAATTCTGAATAGAACGTATCTTAGCAGCAATTGAGTTGGTTTCCTTTCATTCAAAATTATGCTTTTATATGTATCTACGCTATGCAGCAACTGAGTTATAATCCTTTCCAGTGTAAATAAGTGTTTGCTAACATCCTGGAGTAGTACTCAATTTCTTAGTGTTTCAATTTTTTGTCCACCCCCTGTATGTATATTCTATTCTGGAATCTGCTTTTTATTTGTCACTTATCATTATTCAGTCACGTATTCTGGGACTTAAGATCCTGATGTGTGCATCAACTTCCTATTCTCAGGGACAGGAAAATACAAATAATTATGGTACCTAATCGATAATTTTTTAAAGACAGTTATCAGAAATCCTAAGAAACCTCATTCATTGAGTTAGCTTTGCAATAACAGTTAACATCAAATTCAGAGTGAATCTGTGCTGAATCTCAAAACTAAGTTCCTGGCCAACTTCTCTGTGCTTTTCCTTTTCCCTTCTAGCAAATACTAAGGTTTTAAAGTAAAAAAAACAGACACATGTTACTCTGTTACTATATTCATACATTTACCATTCAGACTTACTGTAGTGTCCATTTTGATTTCTAATCCCCCTGCACCAAACAACTTAACAACAAAGTAAAGGTAAAGTTATCCTTGTAACAGGCCATGGAGACCCACAGGGTTGTGCAATGTTGAGGCTCCCACATTTTCTAGACAATCAGCACACAGATGGTGGCGAGACTGCCCGCCTTATGTGAAGGCCGCCCTTTACCCCTAGGAAGATCATTGGTACTCATTTCTGTTAGTGGCTGAGTCAACCCCAGAGCCATAGTGAGGTTTGAAGGATTAGGTCAATTGAAAAGTCCAATGACCTCATTGGGAATCTAACCTGCAACCTTCCGGTTTGTAGCATAGTGCTTCAACCAACTATACTACCACATGCCCAACTTAACAAAACAAAGGGGAAAATTTACAAAGAATATTTAACCAATCTGAAGATATAGCCCATCTAATCTATGAACCAGGGTACATAATACCTTGAGTATGCAACCTTATGAAAGAGAAGTTTTGTGTAAATTTGTCTGAATATTCCACCAGCATATGAATACTGGAAGTATGTTAAGAATGAAAACTAGTAACAGTCTAATGATTATGTAATGTTCTACGTCATTAACTGAAGATGAAGCACCCATATTCCAATAGCAAATGGAGTATAACAGTGTCAATACAGAACATCAAACATAAATTTAAAACAATTTTATTACCATATTGTATGAACAGAATGATACAAATCTAGCTTTATTTTAGTGTTGCAAGTATAATTCTTGGACTCTCTGATCATATGCAGCTTCAATTCACTCAGACTGCACTGTGAGATGTAAGAAGGATGGTTTTGGGCTCATAGCTTCAATGTCTTTAGAAACATAAAATGGAAAGTAAACTATAATAAATATCCAAACACACTGACAACAAGCAAGCAGGCTCAAACAGTAATGCCTCTGTACAGATGATGTTCAGTTCAGATCTCTCCTGGTTTTCAGTTCACTGATCACAGGGCAAAAAAGACAATGCTGTCCCAGTGCTTAACTAATTAATTAATCACTATGCCAAGAAGATGTATGGGAGAATGGATGTACATATCCATGTATTCTTATTGGACCCTTAAATACACTATAAATAAAATCAAGGAAACAAATTATAAATGTCATGAACCTCAAGCTTAGAGGAGATAAGTTACAAATTTTATATTATCACCTGCCATAAGAGTAGCAAAAGAAAGAGCTAAGTGTTTCATTGTGTGGAAAACATTTAAATTTGAACATCTGAACTGAATGCTGATTGGTTACTCAGTTGTAATATAAAGACTATTGCAATAAAGTAATTAGAAGTTATCAGTTAAAGGTAAAGTTGTCCCTGTGCTTAACTAATTAAACACTGTGCCATGAAGGCATATAGGGGAGTGGATGTATAGATCCCACATTTCCGTTAACAGATCAAAAATATAAAAATAGTTTCTTTCAAAATTCTGTCAACCAGAAAATAAATAGCTTTAATGAAGTACTTCCAAGATAGTTTTAGTTCTATATGTAATAATACAAAGGCTGTCATGAATGCAACAATTTATTTGGTTGTAGTTCTTTGTCTTTTCTTCCTCTACACTTCATCTTTCAGCCGTAACTGGCCATCATCAGGTGTATTTTTCACTACGTAGCTGTCACACTGCACACAATCCAAAATCTAAAACACCAGACTGTCAGTTACGTATAAGAATAACGTAGGAACATAGGATAGTAATACAAATATTGGTGTATTACAGGTAATACATGAACGGTGCTGAAAACAAGAAATGGCCGCTGCAGCACATGTAGACACAGAGCAGGTATCCCTGTGATTTAAAACTTTAAATTTTGAATTTTAAATTAAAACATTTTCAATTTTAAACTGGAATTCTAAAATCAAATTAATGAGCATATGTTGGCGAGATTTTAAACAAAACTGACAGGCTGGTGTTTTAGATTTTGGATTGTGTGCAGTGTGACAGCTACGTAGTGAAAAATACACCTGATGATGGCCAGTTACGGCTGAAAGATGAAGTGTAGAGGAAGAAAAGACAAAGAACTACAACCAAATAAATTGTTGCATTCATGACAGCCTTTGTATTATTACATATAGAACTAAAACTATCTTGGAAGTACTTCATTAAAGCTATTTATTTTCTGGTTGACAGAATTTTGAAAGAAACTATTTTTATATTTTTGATCTGTTAACGGAAATGTGGGATCTATACATCCACTCCCCTATATGCCTTCATGGCACAGTGTTTAATTAGTTAAGCACAGGGACAACTTTACCTTTAACTGATAACTTCTAATTACTTTATTGCAATAGTCTTTATATTACAACTGAGTAACCAATCAGCATTCAGTTCAGATGTTCAAATTTAAATGTTTTCCACACAATGAAACACTTAGCTCTTTCTTTTGCTACTCTTATGGCAGGTGATAATATAAAATTTGTAACTTATCTCCTCTAAGCTTGAGGTTCATGACATTTATAATTTGTTTCCTTGATTTTATTTATAGTGTATTTAAGGGTCCAATAAGAATACATGAATATGTACATCCATTCTCCCATACATCTTCTTGGCATAGTGATTAATTAATTAGTTAAGCACTGGGACAGCATTGTCTTTTTTGCCCTGTGATCAGTGAACTGAAAACCAGGAGAGATCTGAACTGAACATCATCTGTACAGAGGCATTACTGTTTGAGCCTGCTTGCTTGTTGTCAGTGTGTTTGGATATTTATTATAGTTTACTTTCCATTTTATGTTTCTAAAGACATTGAAGCTATGAGCCCAAAACCATCCTTCTTACATCTCACAGTGCAGTCTGAGTGAATTGAAGCTGCATATGATCAGAGAGTCCAAGAATTATACTTGCAACACTAAAATAAAGCTAGATTTGTATCATTCTGTTCATACAATATGGTAATAAAATTGTTTTAAATTTATGTTTGATGTTCTGTATTGACACTGTTATACAACGCATCCTATCACACTGTAGTACACCACTAATATGACCAATACGACCGAATACGACTTCGCTCCAGCTTCTACACGTTCTACGCGGTTTACCAAAGATCGATCTTTTCAGTGTATGCAGAAAAGCAACCTCTCATATCGAAGTACAAGGAAAATTCCTGCGAAAATTCCTTTTTATGTGATTGGTTTGATCATTTAATGTGCCTTTTTAGATGACTAGTTTGATCGTTTAATGTTCTAGCATTCTGTACCATTAGGAATTCTATAGTTACAAAGTAAGGTGTTATAACAGACCTATTCGTACTCAAATTAACTCACGCTAAACAATCGTTATTGAAACTCATTTGTATAAAAAATGTAGCTCCATCTCTGTAAGCGGCCATGGAGGCCGATACGGATTTGAGACGTCGAGGCTCCCACATTTTCTAGATAATCGGCTCACAGATGACGGCGAGGTTGTTAGCTTTTACCCCCATGAATATTCCAGGTAAAAGTAAAAAGTAAAGCTATCCCTCTACCTGGCCGTGAAGGCCTATAGGGTTGTGAGACGTTGAGGATCCCACATTATCTAGACAATCGGCTCAAAGATGGCGGTAAGGTTGTCAGCCTTACGTGCCGGCCGCCCTTTACGCTCCAGAAAAATTATTTATTTAATTCCTGGTACTCATTTCTGTTAGAGGCTGAGTGAACCCCAGGGCCATAGTGCGGCCGGAAGGATTAGGTCAAGTGTATGATTATTATTATTATTATTATTATTATTATTATTATGACTGGTTATTAATTTTATTAATTTTATGCTATCACTCACTGGTGTCTTATCTTAGTATTTAGTTACTAACAGTATTAGCAACATTCGTAATATTTCATAAATGTATGTATATATTTCAGTCTTCTTTAGATCTATGTTCACAGATTTATTTGTCGTATTTGTATTTTGTTTTAATTATTTTGTACCTTATATACTCGTGCTAACTTTGTAATTGGCCGCTGGGCTGTTAAGTTATTGCACGTAAATAAACATGAATTGAATT